TTTGGTACCATTAAAAGACATGACACTCTTTATTGAAAACCCATACTTGGGATGAAAAAGGGGGAGAGGCATTTAAAGGCCGTGGCGTAGACATTGATACAAGTGGGAAGTAGCATCAAGGAATGACCGGACAGAGGGATATAATAAGGATGTGATCCGAGCGCATATAGACTTGTCTGATGTGCAGTGGCGATAATCTGCTGGAATTAACTTATTAACTAACTAATTAATTAACACAAGACTACGCACAAGCACTTTAAACGGACGACAACATGTAACCAACGCATTACTTTATATATATATATATATATATATATATATATATATTATATATATATATATATACACACACATAAACACTTACACTGTTGTAACCAGAATAGAGACAACAATTAGAGGCAAAAACGGAGAGATTATGGTTAAGTGGGTCGGAGATTCTTTAGAAAACAAATATCATGGAAACGTTGGGTATGATACTGTGCTATAGATGTACAGGCTGTTCTAGTAACTTTGGTAAAACCCCGTTAACATGAACTCGCTTATTATAAGACGAACACTCGGTTAACAAGAAACAAATGTTAGTCCCTGTAGGACTGTTTTATTCACACTATGTCTATTAGTTTCGGTTAGCACGTATTTATTCAACAGGAACTCTTGATCTTTTTCAGTCCCTTGAGTAAGAGTTGATTCAAAAACCGACATCATAGCACTCGGAGCATTTCCATCAGCGCGCTGTCCCCATCTTCAGCAGTCAAGGCTTAGTACCAATACCAATGGTGCTAGTAGAATTCTGATTATACTTCCGTCTTGCCTTTCCTCAGAGCGTCGAGTATCGGCCAGGTCCCCTTGTTCCCCCCCCCCCCCTTTTAGTTGCATCGGTCCCTTGGAATTGGCGTTAAGGAGGTTTAAGTGTATGAATATGTGGATACTGTAATACACATTTTTATGTGTGTAAGATGTGTAAGGAGTATTTGCACAAATGATTTTTCTTCTTCTGAACCTCATCCAGCAATGGAGCGAAGACCCACAACAAAATCGTGCCAAGAGGTCATATCTTCTGCCGTTGTGTGCATTCCACCCTATATTCTCTCCATATTTCTGTTTTTCCACCTCCCATTCTGTTCACGTGTTTGTTGGTCCGTCTTTACTACTGTGACCCCGTGGATTTCACTGTAAGATATTCTAATTATATTGTTATAGAGTCTCACAATTTGTCCCCAACGGCCTGAGCCGTTCGTTCAGATGCTTTGCTCGAAAAGTGATCGTCACGTCCAAACAGTAACCCCGAAGAGGAAGCTTTAGGTTATACGTGGGACTAGGTTATGGTTGCCATATAAAATGGCTTAGCACCGAATGCCACCAAAAGCCCTTAAAAAAGGTTTCTGCAGTGTTGACGCGATCAAAGGAGACAGACCCAAATACTGCCACGACCGGCGACGAAGTCGTCTACCAGCGAGCCATTGGGCGATCCGGTCCCCGAGCCTCTCAGGTTCTGGTGCCTTTCAGCAGAGATGTATCCGGCTAAAGTATTTTCCCCTTGGTGTTATTTTTAGCAATCAACATCTGGCTTCCGTCCTTTTCCCAGTGTCACGTAGTGCTACGTGCACTCAGATACCATGTGACCTTAATGAAGACTACCCCATGATGAGGGAAGTCGCCGTAGCGTTGGCGGCTAGACGCCCGTCGGCGGATCGGAAGGTCATAGGTTCGCGTCCTGAGGGAGCCGGACCTTTTTCTCTTAAAAAATGACCTCGACTCCTAGGTCGACCCAGCCTTGAGTGGGTACCAGGTGCAGTCCTGGGAAGTAAAGGCAGCCGTTGTGATGCTGACCACTTCACCCACCAAGTGCTGATAGGTCTATACAAATATAGGTCTAGCCCTGTATTCCAAATACGCCTAAAGGCATGGACAAGGGACATTCACTTTTGTTTAAACCCCATGATTAGGGAACTGTCATGGTGTAGCGACTAGATGTTTGTACGCGGATCCGAAGGTCGTCGGTTAAAACCAGCCCAGTGCCAGATCTTTATTGTTGTTGTTCTTGTGTGGGTCGAACATGTCCACATAGCCTTACAATGGTACCAGGCAAAGTCCCCGGAAAGTAAAGGGTGTCGGCGTGATGTTCATCACATCACTGAAAATGTCATAATTTTAAAAGTTAATTCAGAAAAGGAAAGTTTGCGCGCGTGTGTACACAGTATTAAGAATGACTGGCAGAATATTTCACTGTTATTATAAAAGAAGTATTGAATAGAGATATACGCGTGTGGCGTCCTTAAATGTTCAGATTTGTTTAAAGTTTTGTGTGATTTTGTGTGACCGTCACTGTGACCCTTAAGAGACGCTGAGAAGATAAGGAACAATCGGCACCTTAAAATGAGAGTCGCTGCAGCAACTGTAATTGGAGAAGAATAAGAAGACGTGGCTGGAGATTGAATACCTGGCTGGAGATTGAATACCTGGCTGGAGATTGAATACCTGGCTGGAGATTGAATACCTGGCTGGAGATTGAATACATGGCTGGAGATTGAATACATGGCTGGAGATTGAATACCTGGCTGGAGATTGAATACATGGCTGGAGATTGAATACATGGCTGGAGATTGAATACCTGGCTGGAGATTGAATACATGGCTGGAGATTGAATACCTGGCTGGAGATTGAATACCTGGCTGGAGATTGAATACCTGGCTGGAGATTGAATACCTGGCTGGAGATTGAATACCTGGCTGGAGATTGAATACCTGGCTGGAGATTGAATACCTGGCTGGAGATTGAATACCTGGCTGGAGATTGAATACCTGGCTGGAGATTGAATACCTGGCTGGAGATTGAATACCTGGCTGGAGATTGAATACATGGCTGGAGATTGAATACCTGGCTGGAGATTGAATACATGGCTGGAGATTGAATACCTGGCTGGAGATTGAATACCTGGCTGGAGATTGAATACCTGGCTGGAGATTGAATACATGGCTGGAGATTGAATACCTGGCTGGAGATTGAATACCTGGCTGGAGATTGAATACCTGGCTGGAGATTGAATACCTGGCTGGAGATTGAATACCTGGCTGGAGATTGAATACCTGGCTGGAGATTGAATACCTGGCTGGAGATTGAATACCTGGCTGGAGATTGAATACCTGGCTGGAGATTGAATACCGACTAGACATTGTTAAAGCTACATATGGCACCCGTCTTGCGCTCTCTCTCTCTCTCTCTCTCTCTCTCTCTCTCTCTCTCTCTCTCTCTCTCTCTCTCTCTCTCTCTCTCTTTCTCTCTCTCTCTCTCTCTCCCTGTCCCTGCTTGTACCTGGTTGGGGTCTCAGACAAGTTCTAGCATGGAAGACATATTCCAAAGAAATGTCAATTAACAAGCAAAATTTATCACATTTAAACAGGAGTTATACCAAGTTGTAAGTATACCAAAGCATATCTATACCGAAAAGGGGAGGGGGTGTTTATGTTTGTGTGTGTGTGCGTGCGTGTGTGTGTGTGTGTGTATAGGCTTTGTCCGTTAAACTACCAAATCAGTGCACATACTTTAGCCACTGTAATACTAAATGACTGCACATAATTAAGCCATGATACTATCAAATCAGTGCACATACTTTAGCCACCAAACAACCAACCCATTGCACATAAAACAGCCATACCACCCACTGATTTCCAATTGGTCTATAAAATATAGGTCTAGCCCTATATGCCCTATACAAATGATGGTGTGGAAAAAAGTTCTTTATAAAGGATACTTTCCACACCACTATCGCATTAGGTATATTATGCTTGATCCATATTTGTATAGACCAATTGAATCTTTAATGAGTGATGCGGTTAACTCGCTCAGGATGTAGATTTGACCAGGTTACTAAGATAACTGCCCAAAACTGCCATTTTTGCTTCAATTCACCACTTTTTGCAGTACAAGCAGGGGGTTGGGGGGGGGGGGGGGATCTTTGAGCCTGATTTTTCATTATGTGCTCTCACTATGCATTGTGCAGGTTTGGATTTTACTTTTGCGAGAAAAAAAAAATCCCTAATCTTATTGAGAATTGGAACCCAATTCTCCCACATAAGAGTCCTGTCTTCTTTACTGTTTGGCCAGCTGCTCCTCCTAAGATAACATAGATGATAAAAACATCAAATATTGTCAACAGTTGAAGCACACAAGAATTTGCAAATGGTTCACAGCTAGTGAAAAAACGCATCACGGATGGTTCAAGCTGCAGCTCTTTTCTGTAATTACTCTTAAAAGTGTGGTTGGCCCTCTGCGATATTTGTGTCTTTTGGCCCAGCACATCTTATTTCAGCAAAAAACCTTTCACTAGCTGCCTTTTATGGCATGCTTATTAAAAGGCACCAACTCCAGCATTTTTTGGCTGTTTGTGATTTCACAGGCTTTTTTGTGGCGATTTGCCATTTGCGATTTATGGCGATTTGCCATTGATTTCTGAACAGTTAGCTCACGATACCACTGTCGAAATCAATGATGCCGAATTGCTCAAAGCTGGGACTGGACTTGGCACCTTGAAGTTAGGAAGCTCATTTGCAAAGACTAAGCCGCAAATCCTGAGAAGAGACTACAAATGAGGTAATAAAAGCTGTAGTGAATTTTCTTTAAAGTTTAGAGTTAAGCAATTCACCTTTTTGCAGAGGATTTATCCCATACGACTTGGGCTTTCTCAATCTGCCAACAGGACTCCACAAAGCATAAACTGCACGGCTTCAGCAATAATTCCCAGGAAACTCCCCTCCCCCCAACAGAGAACTAGTGTTATCCACTACTACAAGCTGAAAGGCATAGTGAAGATGGGATCCAAGCACAAAATGACTTGTCCGATAAGCAATGACTGACTAACCCCTCAACAGACTAGAAACAAACTGTATTCATTAACTAGCCTTTAAATATTAATACAAATATTCAAGACAACATGTACTTAGATGTAAAATTCCACCAAATGTTAACAAAGACAGTTTCCATTCATTACCACAAACACTCACCTCCATTCTCCAGAAGTATCTGCAAACACTGCAAAGATCCATTAGAGACAGCTGTGTAGACAGCAGTTCGACCACACACATCCTGAGCATTTATATGTGCTTTCTCTTCACCCTAATAGGAGCAGAAGTGTAACAAGTGTCTTAGTATCAGAGGAATTGAAAGCGCAAAGTTTACTAGTGAGGCAAAGGTAGTTGTGGTAGCATAGTTGTTAAATATCTGCCTGTTGGCCTGAAAGTCTTACATTCAAATCTGTATCGCCCTTGAGGGTTTTCAGGCCCTATTATGGGGAAAAAGGGGGAGGGGGTGAGAGACTTGCTGCTTAACAAGCGTACTGTAATAGGCTACGAATTAAAGTTTTTTCCTTTGAGGTCAGTGTTTGTGTGTGAGAGGTGATGAACCAACAATCTGCATACAAATAAGCCCTATCTATACAAATCTGGGCATGCAAAACTCAAGTTCTTAACCAAGACCAAAGTTCAGAAGTGAATAAACAGCCAGAACTTGTCACTGGAATTTGCAGCTTTTGAATACTAACAAGAAGAAATTGTGCATTCAGGCGGATTTTTATTTCTCTAGTTTCCCTTGGCTCTAAGGCAACCCAGCTTAAAATATGTACCAGTGGCTATTCTAATATTGCTAATAGGAGAGGACTTTTCGGTCAAGGTCACTTCTAAACAAATCAGCCTCAATGTGGATTCAAAGGTTTACTAGATAATATAATCTTCTACAGATATGCATCCAGGAGCTGTGGAAACTTAACTCTTTGAGTCCCAGGGAGTTTAGCATCAGAGGCCCAAGGGTGCATCTTGCATTCACCGGGCCTCTAGATAGGAACTTATGAACACATGATGCGTTCCTTGGGACTCAAAGAGTTAATGGCTAGCATATTTTCCTGCCAGTACAGGGGTCATGTGTCTGAATTCAACACCAACCAGCTGCACATACATGTTGTGATTATAACCGACTCACAGAGCAGGCTGAGAAAGGTGGTGACATATGTCCTCCATTCAGAGTGACAAGCATTGCTTCAGAGGTCCTGGGTAGTTAGCATGTTTTGGATTTTGTGTCCAGGTCATGCTTGTGTATTGGCAAATGAATAGGCTGACAGACTGGCTGATTCTGCCCTTTGAAAGTGAGTAAACGGTGTGGATACACACACAAAAATCACTGTGATCTAAAGGGTTTGGTGCAGTGAGGCATGACTTGGGGATGCTGCTGACACTCAACAATCAGAGAGAGGAGATTGACATACAATCAGAAAGTTACTGGTACCACCGGAATTGGACTCTGTGCTTGCTGCTGAAGATAGCGACTTACAAACTGATACTGTTGAAGATCATATATTGTAGGAAGGCATGATCACCCATACCAGTTGGCTAGGCACTTGACAATGATGATGAGCAACATTTTGTGCTTTGCAGTTAAAATTAACAACAGTCTGGAACAAAACTAAATTAACTAGAGCCTTTAAAATGTGAATAATAAATGCTTTCTGTACATCCCAAGCTGAGGTTTATACCCAGATCTTGGCTATCAGGTTGATCCAACCTAAAGAGTACCAGATTTCATGGATAGTCAATATGGCTAGCATGTTGTTGATTATATTACCTATAATTGCAAATTGAGAGTCGCAGTGGGATTCTCTAGCTGGCGGAGCCAGACTTTTCTTCAAAAATGACCTTGGCTGCCAGGTTGACCCAGCCTTGACTGGGTACTAGGTGCAGTCCCGGGAAGTAGAGGCAGCCGGCGCGATGCTGACCACATCACCCATCTTGTGCCGACTGGTCTAAAAAATATGTCTAGCCCTATATGCCCTATACGCATAAAGGCGAGGAAAAGGGTCCTTTACTTTTTTATTGCAAATTAAACACTATATTGCCAATAAACCTACTGGTAAGAAATGGGATGTTTTACTTACTTTATAAGCTAGTACTTTCAGGTTGAGTTCCAGGGCCCCATTTGTGGTGGGGTGGGGGGAGGGAAACAAAGAAAAGACCCACTGAACCCCAACAAGCATGTTGTAAAAGGTGACTATTTACGGTGTTTCCTCTAAAGTGCATCTGCCTCAGACATGAGGAAGCAACAGTCTGCATACAAATAGATGGATCGGTGAGGACACTTTCATTTGTCTCTAAACCAACCAAGATTCTTCCCACAGGTCCACTCACCCATCTATCTGACCTGCATACAAATGAGCCAGATTTTGAAAATGAATGTGCATACAAAACACAAGTTCTTGAACAACACTAAAGTCGAGAAGTGGACGAATAGCCAGAACTTATCACCGGAATTTACAGCCAAAAAACACTAAGAAGCAGATAAGCTCGTAATATAAATATATATAATGTCAGTCGGTCTTCCATTTTATTCAGTCATCTGTCAGTCCTTCTATTAGTCTTATTATAAGTCCATTTAGGGGGCTGAGTGGTCTCGAGGCATGGCGTCCGCCTTGAGTGCTGGAGGTCCCGGGTTCAGAACCCGGTGAATGCTGTGATTTTTTCCACATGGACTTCTAGTAATTTGCCCTGGTCTCTGGGTAGTAAGATCAGACAGCCTTGTGTATTGTGGCGCATGTAAAAAAATCCCTTGGCAGTTGAAAATTTAAAAGAGTAGACTAACAGTGCTGCCCAGGCAAAATTTTGAAATAAAAATCTACCCAAAGTATTTCAGGATCCTCGTCGGTGCTACGGAGTTCATGCACCTCACTGAGATTCTTGGGACTCAGGCTTTAGAAGTAGAACAGAGAACTTATGAGTTACTACCCTTGTGCCATGATTTGATCCATGGTTCAAACCTTTATAAGTCCATATATTTGTAAACCAACCAAACTACTTCCTATATGTCCACATATCTATCTATGTGTCAGTCTGTTTGTCTATCTATCAACACAATATCTTGTTTGTTTTATCTTACCTGTAGCAAACACTGTAATAGTTCCACATTGTTGTAAATGGCTGCCTGGTGAACAAATTGACCAGGCCAGGTGTCCTCACTGGAAGTCATGGTTAATTAAACAAAGCAACAACTGGAATCAGCCATCAATGTCAATCATAGGTGACTCAGTCATTTCTCAGCATTTCCTTCACATTACAGCAGTGGAGATTAATTGTAGAACTTAGTATGGGCTGGTGCCTTTGGCTTATGGCTTATGAACACAGTTTAATCATTCTGAAATCCTGAGTTTGATCCAAATGCAGGTGATTTGGCACCAGACCACTTTGTGCTGATTCTGGCAACTTTAGGTCAGCTATTTAGAAGCAATGACAAACTATGTGAATGTAAAAAAGTCTAGTAAAACCACAAACACCTCACCAGTATCTTGCCATCTCTAACAGCATTCATCAATTTATTTGTTGACATCTAGGCATGCCCTGACAAAAGACTGTTAAAAATTGTCTATATTTTCCTCTTTTCATAACTTATTTCCAGCTGTCAAAACATGTTCCAGAGTTTTTCTATTTAGATTAACCCAATAATTATGACTTCATAGAAAAATGCTTCAAGTTGATACAACATACTTCACCAGTATCTTCAATCTTCAACAGGATGTATCAATTTGTGCCTTGAAATCTAAGCAAAAAGCTGTTTAAAAAAATCCAGAACTGTTCTTCTTAGACTAACCCAATAATGATGATTTCATAGAAGAATGCTTCAAGCTCCTTTGCCAGCAAGGTCCCATTTAGTAAATATAATTCCATGAAAGTGGCTGCTCAGAGAAGTCAAGCACTGGGCTTACATAGTCTAGTTTATCACAAAATACAGTAGGAGGACCAGCTTCCTGTCTCCTCTTTCATATTCAGAAAAGTACTTTGTGTCCATCACTTGAAGATTTGTCAACTTCAAACCATTCAGTTGTAACATGAACCCATTCTTCAATACATTTTTACAAATTTCTTTTACTTCATTTAGCGGCAACATGAACCCATTCTACGATTCGAATATTACTATTTTCTTGTTTTTCATTCAGTTGTAACATGAACCCATTCTATGATTTTTAACTTCAAATTTGGCCTTAGGCTACTCTTTTCTATTTCCAACTGATAAGGGATTTTTACGTGTGGAACAATGCAATGGACAATGCTCACGGACATCCGATCTCACTACGGGAGACCAGGAGGAATTACTAGAAGTCCAAGTCCACGTAAAAAAAATCCCAGCCCTTACCGGGGATTCACCCTCTAGCACTCGAGGCGGACACCATGCCTCGAGACCATGCAGCTCCCTGTTTAACAGGAAAACAATTTACTATATATCCTAATTCTAACCTAGAAAGGTTAAACAGGATATTTCTCATAAAATTACTGACATATTAGAAATAGAAGCACCAGCATCAGTATTAGCAGCTGCTGCTGCAGAAAAAATACAAACTGCTAGCAACTTTCTTCGACCTGACCAAAGCCTCTGACAAGGTCTAGAAGAAAGGACGCTTGCTAAAACTAGCACACAGTGGGTTAAAACAGCAGATGTTTGCCTGGACTAGAGACTTCCTTTACAGATGCTGCACGAGAGTCAGACTGGAAGAACACAAGAGCAAGCAGATCAGACTACAAGAGGTTGTCCCCCAGGAAGGTATAATATCTACTACCCAGTTATTTTTTTCATCAATGACCTCACCAAACAGTTCATGACTAACATTCACAAGGCCCTACATGCAGATGACCTGGCCATATGGACTCAAGGTTGACATATTGGAACAATTAAAACAAGAATGCAGGAAGCTATAAATACAGTTCAAAAATGGATGTTCTCTTGGGGAGTCACAATAAACTTGACCAAAACCATCTCAACTCTTTTTTCTGTTTCCAAAAAAGGAAGAAACGATGCTTACCCTAACAAAATAATTTTAACCAGATCAAAACCATCTTGACTCTTTTTCTCTATTTCCACAAAGCTAGAACAAGTTGACCCGTACCTAGAAGTCAACATTCTTCCAAAAGAGGACAACCCAACATATCTGGGAGGAACATTTTACAAAGGTCTGGGGTATAAATGCCAACATTGTACAACAAGTATACACAGGATACGTATGACCAAAACTGGAGTATGGCATGGGAGCATTCTCCACTCCAGCCAAATCAAATCTAACCAAACTGGTCAAAATACACAACACTGGTCTAAGAATCATCAATGGAGGTACACCAATCAATGAGGTGGAGGCAACTTCTCGCCTCCAAATTTGCTTACCCTAACAGAAAAATTTAAACGCATGAACAACAACCCCATGCACAGAATAGCAAACAATTAAAAAGACAAAGCTTTTACCATCTATAAAAATTGTTCTGTGCCAAAAACAGTGACATTCTTTCTAAAGATCCTTCAACATGGGAAATTATCCAGGCATACAACGTAGACCTATAGCCTAACTATACTGGTACAATAACAATCCCAGCTATAGACAGAAAATCTAAAGAATGTGACCCGGTACTGTGTGCAAAAACCCATTAACATATCTACAACTCTTACCCAAAACCCAAATGGAGATTTGTATACACAAATGGATCACTGGAGGGAGCCCAAAACAACGGAGCAGCTGGTTTAGTTATCATGCTGCAAGATAGGTCCTCAGTGGAAATGTCATGCACCTCCGGGAAACTCAACGAACTTCAGAGCAGAGCGGCAAGCAATTACTGATGCCACCAAAGTGCTTAGGGAAAGCAAAATTAAAAACAGCAGAATTTTTGTCCTGTGTGACTGCAGCCAATCCTCCAAGCAACTCAAAGAGATCCATGAGACAACTTAGAGAGAGAACTGACCTGCCAGCTTAACAGACTCTTAGAAAACAATCAAATCATTCTCCAGTGGATTCCGGTTCACTGCGGCATACAAGAAAATGAGGTTACAGATAGACTTACAAAAAAATTTTACAAAGGAAAAACAACACACCCATTCATTGTCGTTAGCTGAAATCAAAGCATTTATCATGGGGAAATAAAGGAATTGTGGAGAGAACAAACCAACTGTAAACACCCACAAGATCCCACCAGGAGAATCAACAGAAAGCAACATACAACAATTTTTCATCTCACTGAAAGCTCAACTACAACATGCATAAAATAAAGACTGTACAGTCCCCACAGTGTGTCAAACAGGACCACAAACCCCTGAGCACATTCTGCAGACCTGCCCCCTCTACCTACTACTTTGAAAAGTAACCTGGCCTCAAGAGCTAAGTGTGTGCAGAGCAAGCTATGGGGGACCATAAAGGACCTGCAGCTGACATGAGAGTTCATATAGGCAACCCATCTGATGGTCTGGCCTGAGCATACAAAACCGAACTCAAAGAAGAAGTATTAGTAGCTGTTGGTGCAACTTCTACTTAGAACGAAATGGAAAAATAAACTAAGCGCCATGTGACATACAATGGCAGAACAGAAAAATGATGATGATGATGTTAATACTACCATTCCTACCATCACCCATGGCATTCTTTTCTATTTCAATAAAACAAAACAAAAACAGGTATCTATTTTCTTAAATTATTATCTCTGAAAGATACCTACATTCATTGGTACCTAAGAAAAACAAGTGAATTAAATGGTATGATAGAATTACTAATTTGGAACTTCGGCAGAGAACTAAGCACATTCTAGTAAATCGAAAGATTGAAAAAAATAAATAGGACATGTTAGGAAAAACTGGAGAACAATATAACTAGAAGTATTTGTACATGGGGCACATAATTTACAGGCTGAACCAAATAAAAACACATGAAGAAGGAGATAAGAGAGTGACATTATTTTTTTTTTTAAACAAGATCGGGAGGACATGGGTTAGCTGCATGTCATACATAGCAATGCATAATAAAACTAAAAGTTTCAGATTTAAGAATAATCATAGTCATAATTACGGCATACGGGCGTATCCAGAGATGATCATCTCCCGCAGCAGATGTCTAAGTCCAAAGATGTAGATAGGTGTTTCAGATAATAAATTACACAAAACAGTAACTAAACAAATTAAAACTAAGTTAAAATAAACCTAAACCTAATAAAACCGCAAAGCAAACTACAATGTTATTATAAATATTTATATTATTTAAGTGTAAGTTTTTTTTTTTTTTAGTGGTTTAGTTTATTATTAGGTAATCTTTTGTTTGCTTTGCTTCACCTTAAATCCACTTGTAAAAAAGTTACACACTGACGCTATTAATAGTTACATAAGTAAACGCATATCTTTCCCACGATAAAAAAACTTCCTTTTTGTTAATAACTATTATTAAGATGGACAGGTCATTACGGATGCAAGAAATGTTGGGAAATTTGCTAGTTTTATTTATTTATGTTGTTGTCGGAAGTGACCTAACGGGATAGTTAGTTAAAAACTAGGAAGCCAAAAAAAAAGATGGGAAATGCCGTATGCACTGTTCTGCAATATTCTGCATTCGATCTTACTCAAGTGGGCGCTGCGATATCTACACCTGGTCGGTCTGCAAATTCGATTTCAACTAACCACTGATTAGTTACCCTTTACGCCATTCTCGTAAATGGGCTGCTAGTTCCAGCACCCACCCCATACTTCAAAAATTGACCTAAACAGGCCAGAGCAATTTTCAAAAACAATGAAATCTGTTGTTATGACAACTGAAGTTGAGTAATGTGAAAATGTAATGCGCAAATACATCACTCATTAGAAAGCACGTGAGGCCATTAAAATAGTATATAAATTCATAGGTATTCGTAAGCATCAATCGTAGAGGTAGAGACGACGAGCCAGCCGTAAGCCTCAGTACAGTGAATTCGGTCAGTTGGAGGCATAAAGTCCAAATCCTTGTGTAGCCATTTAGCCTTGAAAATGTGTATGATTAATCAGTGTTTCGTATAAAACCTTTTAAAATGTATAGTTCAACTCTTTAATAGCAAATTATTTACTGTCTTCTTTCTTGAATGAACTGTTTTGTTTTTAAACAGCTGGTATTCGGTCTTAACGAGTTAAAATATCACATGTAAATGGTTATCAGAAAGAGTTAACCTTACAATTTTAAAAGTAAATATAAATTATAATCA